CAGTTAGACTTAGCAGACACACTGGGACTTAATTTACAGAAAGCTAATTGGTCCACTAACATTTTCTAAAATGAACAAAAACACTAATACATTGAATGAAAAGCTAATTCCAGTGTTAGCGGTTAGCTGATTAATGGAACAGTGCCCACCACTGGTGGCCTGGTACCAAGTGGACCACCCCAGCACAGAACACAGATCAGGATCCTGACTGAATCCTCTCAGGTGGTGGTCCCACATGGAGGTGGTATCCTGTCTTGGTTTAACCCCCGAGAAACCAAACCTAGACCAGGAGGCGCTCCCTGGGGGCCTTCAAACTGAGCTGTCTACAACAGGTAAGATACTGATAGTTCACAAATGTTCCTGCAGGATCCCTCCAGCTGTTCTCGGGTTAAAATGAGCCTCATTAGTCAAAAAATGTTTGTTTAGTTTTTAACTTTTAGTTTTACTGTCAGAAACAAGCCTCTCAGATGAGTTCACAGAATCTGCAGCAAAAAGTTCGGATTTTTTTCTGTTTTCTTGGTTTTGAAACCGAAAGTGAAACAAAGAAAAGGAAGAAAAACGCGGTTCCTTAAAAAATAAACTTCATTAATTAAACTTTAAATTAATCATTAAACTCTCAATAGTTCATGAAGTTAATATTTATGCATATGCACAGAAAAAACCCCGGTCCAGTTGACTCGGAACCAGGATCTTTACCCAGGTCCTCCGCCTCCTGACAGCAGCCGATGTCCCGGAGGATCTCCACGGCCACGTTCACAACCTTTGTCTCCGTGAAAACTCCGACCATCAAATCCGCCAGCTCCCAGAACTTCTTCCCGTCCACCTGGTTCCGCCGAACCACGCGGCGACCATCGACCTTCATCTCCATCAGGGCCATGCAGAACTTCTGCAGGTTGACCTCAGACATGTCCTCCAGGGCGTTGGACACCAGCCTCTTCGGGGTCTGAGGAGCCATTCTTCACGACTCAAGACCCAGGAGTTCCGACCTGGACTGGTTCTGTCTGCACGAGCTGGGCTCAGATCGCAGCTGATGAGTGAGGCGTTCAGGGGCTGTCGGAAAACACTGCTTCTTCAGAGATCCAAGTGGGGTCTCTGCAGACGAGTGGGCGTGTCCCAACAAAAGGCGATTCTAAAGCGACACACCTGATTGGACAAGAATAAAAGGGGCGTTACTGTACAGCACCAGTTTTTCTGGAGACCCCTACTTGGGTCACATTTCTCCTGGTTAACCTTAGTGTTGG